ATTACCGGCGGTTTTGACCGCCGGTAAAAAGTCACTTATCAACGGCGATCTAAACCGCCGGTAAGCCGCCGGTTCTTGTTGACGTCCGGCGGTTTACCGTTGGTTTAGGGACCGCCGCCCTTACCGGCGGCTTATATTTGCAAAATCACCGGTGCAACCGTCGTTAAAAGCCGACGGCCAAACCGCCAGTGGAGCCGCCGGTACTACCGGCGGTCCTAAAACCGCCGGTTAGAACCGCCGGTTTAGGGCATTTTTCCTGTAGTGTTAGGCTTTGTTTTGGACAGCTTCTTGCTGCTTTATGAAGCAGCTTTTTAGTACAAAAAAAAAATTATACTAAAAAATTACTTCATAAAATAATGAGAAGTTGTTCCTAATGAAGTCTTAATGAAAATATAATGATATTATTTTATTTATTTGAAATTTTTGTGGCCCATTAAATTAGGTTAACATTTTTGTTATTTTGATTAATTATTAGATTTTTTTTTAGGGATTAATTATTAGATTCTATCATTTCATTAAAAATAAATTAATTGGATAGACCATGCATCAAATTTATTTCGTTACTCTTATTGAATATAATCGCTAATGTTGGAGGTAAGATTCTCCTTCTTAGTCATGATTCAAATTTAAAATTTTATTATAGATAATGTTTTAAAATATTTCTTCCTCAGAAGAATTTCACTTTGCATTTTCTTAGAGTAATCAATCTTAATTTACATAATGGGGTTCATAATTATTTTTTGTTTTGACCAAAAAATGTGTCTATTCTTTTATTATATGCTATATATGCAAGAAGTTTTGTGAATTCCTTCTTGTTCTCAAATGAAATTGTTCATTTAAATTATCCCTTCTACATGCTTTTACCATTACAGGAAATCCACTGAATACTAGTGGTCGCCGCTTTGAATCGGCAGTCCGACCGTCGGTAAAAAACGGATTAATCGCCATAAATTATGGCGGTCATTTAGCCTTCGGATAGGGGTGTAAGTGAGCCGAGCCGGTTCGAGCTCGACTTGTTTTTGGGCTCGTAGCCGAGCTTATCAAGCTTGAGTTCGAGCTTGAGTCGGCTCTGCTCGTGAGCTCGCGAGCCGGCTCAAATAAATATTAATATTTTTAAAATAAATTTATTTTATTTATTAAATTTAAATATTTCAAAAATATTAATAAAAATCA